TGCCCTCATGGCTGTTGCACCTATAACAGCTTTTTTATCAGTTATTTTGTCTTTGGGTCATTATATTTCTCACAGATTTCTGCTCATTCTAAATCAGATACAGATAAAGTAGCACAGTAAAGATTACATAATTATGAATGCATTGGTGAGAGCGATTGCGTGTGTGAATTAATTCTACCTGGCAGCGTCTCTCTACTAGTAGTGAAGCTGTGGAATTTAGTTATTAAGAAATATATCCTTGAACTTTTCAGTTTCTAAGCTATTTTATTGAGAAATCACAGAACAGTGTTGACAATACATTTCCGCGCTGAATGATTCTGTGCGCGTGATGTACGCACTACTGTCTGTAGCCTATGTGTGTGCGTTACAGTGCAGCAGCGCATTAGACTAGAATGGCGATTAACTTACCTGTACATTAAGCTGTTTAAAATGTGCATTCTCCCGTTCAATTTCGAGCATCCAGTAATATAATCACACATGTCTTGTGGAGCGCTTTCAGAGTATGCATTTATTTGTCATTTGAACAGTTTGGAAACGGAGCGTAAATGTGGAAGTCCTTCAAAGATTTCTTATCCTGTTGCGCCCTCTATAGGACCAGCGACTAGTCGACGTCAAGCTTAAAGCGTCATGACAGAGCATTGAATTCACTAGTCGATTAGTCGGTGCAACCCCTAATACACAGCAATGATTAGAAATTGATATATTTTGTTTATCAAGATGAAATTGTCATCTTGATTTTTATTTTGGGGAAAAAATAATAAAAGCACACCCATGACTTGATGAGATAGTACTATTGAAAAATTTAATTCCAATATTACCTGTGAACCTTAATGAAATGAGCCATTTATTAGTGATTTATAAACGTTAATAACTTGTGAAAGTGAACCTTAATGTAAAGTGAACATCTGTGAACCAGTTAGTAATGAGTTATAAACATTAATAACGTCTAAAAATTAACCTTAATGTAAAGTGATCACCTGTGAACCATTTATTAATGATCTAGAAACGTTAATAACCTGTGAAAGTGAACCTTAATGTAAAGTGAACATCTGTGAACCAGTTAGTAATGAGTTATAAACATTAATAACGTCTAAAAATTAACCTTAATGTAAAGTGATCACCTGTGAACCATTTATTAATGATCTAGAAACGTTAATAACCTGTGAAAGTGAACCTTAATGTAAAGTGAACATCTGTGAACCAGTTAGTAATGAGTTATAAACATTAATAACGTCTAAAAATTAACCTTAATGTAAAGTGATCACCTGTGAACCATTTATTAATGATCTAGAAACGTTAATAACCTGTGAAAGTGAACCTTAATGTAAAGTGAACATCTGTGAACCATTTATTAATGAGCTATAAACAATAATAACCTGCAAAAGTGAACTTTAATGTAAAGTGAACACCTGTGGACCATTTGCTAATGAGCTATAAACGTTAATAACCTGCAAAAATGAACCTTAATGTAAAGTGAACACCTGTGGACCATTTAATAATGAGTTATAAACGTTAGTGACCTGTAAAAGTGAACCTTTTTTTTTCATTTTTCATAAATACTTTGAGGTGCTTTTAGTTCGGTTTTTATAATCTTTAAATTGTGTGTGGTAATATGCTAAAGTCACACACAGACTTAAACGTTCAGCACGTGAATCAGAACAATGGTAACAATTCAATTTAATGTATTTTCATTAATTGTAACAATAACCATTTTATTTGCTCTTTTTGTTGTGCTACTACTGACAAAAGACAGCACAAGACAACTGTAAAACAAAGCAACTGTATCATTTATTCATGCCGCAATGCACTCTGGGAGTCAGTGAGTAGCTATACTAAGTCATGAGTAAACCTAAATGAAAGGATCAAGTACCCCCTACAGTTCTTTTTTAGTGACTAGCACTCTCATGTAAGTAAACTATACTAAGCATTTGTCAGTAAAAACATACAATTCCTATTTACTTAGTTTTTTCAAGGCAATTGGTTTGCATGCTTTTTTTAAGTAAGCCCAACTAATTCGATTTCGCAGTGTATGTGGAAAATAATGTTTTTTGAACCTTAAACCGCATAAACACATTTCATTACACCAAATACACAAAATAATGTTATTTTTTAGCAACATCATATGATCCCTTTAATATCTCATCAAGTCATGGTTGTGTTTTTATGATTTTCCCCCCAAATAAATATCAAGATGATTATTTCATCTTGATAACCAAAATATATCCGTTTCTAATCATTGCTGTGGATAGTCATCATGAACTTTTGCGGAGAGTCATGGGTAAGGTACAGAGTAGATTCTGGTAAGAAACATTGTAAGAAAAGTGACACGAGTCATGAGATATAAATGAGAAAACCATAAATACAACACCCTTTTAGTCTTGCTAAAATAGTAAAATTTTTCTGCATCATGAATAAAATCAGGAATCTGGTTTTGAGTGAAATAAGTATTAATACATATACTTGTTAAGCATTTATAACATGCAAGTTAAAAATGTCTCACTATTTGGCAGGTATTGCATCAAAATCACCCTTTTATTCATGCATTTATAACTGCTTATCAATGATTTATAATGCATTTGTAAGTGAGTTATTAGTCATTTATTAACACCTTTATAAACCCTTTATAAAGGGAACCTTAATGTAAAGTGTTAAAATCAGGAATCTGGTTTTGAGTGAAATAAGTATTAATACATATACTTGTTAAGCATTTATAACATGCAAGTTAAAAATGTCTCACTATTTGGCAGGTATTGCATCAAAATCACCCTTTTATTCATGCATTTATAACTGCTTATCAATGATTTATAATGCATTTGTAAGTGAGTTATTAGTCATTTATTAACACCTTTATAAACCCTTTATAAAGGGAACCTTAATGTAAAGTGTTATCGTAATATCCTATAAGAAAAAAAAAAGGAAAATGTGCTATTAATGTAGTATTTTATTGAATAATTCCACACATTTTATTTATTACTATTATCATTATAATTATTTTTATTAATGTTTCTTTTTCTGCTTTTATTGAGAGGACAGTGGAGAGGTGAGTAGAAGGTGCACTATACATGGCAGACAATGTCTAAGACTGTTGCACACATTGACAACATTTGGCGCTCCAGATAGAAGGGTTATAAAGGCTAGAAGGACATTTACGGGAGTAAATGGTGCAGTTAGGATTGTGCCGCAATTGAGGAGAAGATTGATTATTTTAGCAGAGGATGTTGCTGAGATTTCCTCCAATGAGTAAATCTTGGTTCTTCTAATGGTGAGTGATCATAGTCTAGGTGGAGGTTTACTGCTTCTTTTTTTTTTTTAAACTAAGGCACAATCTTGTGTTGTGACCCTGCATTCATCAAAAAGGAAACTGGAAGTCTCCAAACACTGGTTGCTAGGCATCAGGACAGAATTTTCCAGAGGGCCATTGCAGCTGTCACACCATTTCATAAAACATTTTTGTGTTTCTGTTATTCCAGTTTGCCCTGGTGACATTTAGCGAAGAAATAATTATTTTTGAAAAGGTGACAAACCTTTTTTAACAATCAAATTCTGTTATCCTGTTGTTTCCTGTATTTACAATTTGACTCTGTGTTGTAAACAGGGCATCGTGGCCACATAACCACTTCGGCAGTGCATTATTTCTCTATTAATTTTAACGACCAGCAGTCACAATCACACATCAATTGTTCAGATGATTTGTTTCAAGACATCTGACATGTTGCCGTCCTGAAATATCGTGTGTGTTGAACTAGCTAATTTTTTACGCACCTCATCTCAAACGTTCCGTTGCAAATTCCAAAACATCATTTTAGAGCTAATAACAGAGGCTTGGGCCATTGATATGCAGGCTAATGCAGTTATTAATGCAGTTATTAGAGAGACAGAGAGAGCGAGAGAGAGAGATTAAGTGCGTGTGAATACCTGCGTCTGTGCGTCTCTCAGAAGTGTTCAGCAGCAGCGTCTACTAATAGCGAATCTTTAAGTTGAACTGCTTCAAGAACCTTGCTACTGAGAAATGTCATGTAGCTTTTCAGCTGCAAAATATTTTATTGATACATTCGCGGGGCAGTGCTGACAAAAAGTTTCTGTCTGCGTCTCCGCGTGTGTGCGCAAGTGTGTGTGTGTGCATCTGTGGGAGAGAACGGGAGAAGGACAGCATTTTTCTGTACATAAAAAAGGTGGAAGACATGGAAATAGTTTGTAATTTTTACCCTATTATTTGTTATATTTATTTGCTCAATGTCTACTGGGGTTTTGGTTATTTTATTATTGTAGATATCCCATAGTATAACATATATATATATATATATATATATATATATCCAACCTGACAGAACTGGAGAGGATCTGCAAGGAGGAATGGCAGAGGATCCCCAAATCCAGGAGTGAAAAACTTGTTGCATCTTTCCCAAAAAGACTCATGGCTGTATTAGATCAAAAGGGTGCTTCTACTAAATACTGAGCAAAGGGTCTGAATACTTAGGACCATGTGATATTTCAGTTTTTCTTTTTTAATAAATCTGCAAAAATGTCAACAATTCTGTGTTTTTCTGTCAATATGGGGTGCTGTGTGTACATTAATGAGGGAAAAAAATGAACTTAAATGATTTTAGCAAATGGCTGCAATATAACAAAGAGTGAAAAATTTAAGGGGGTCTGAATACTTTCCGTACCCACTGTATATATACAGTATATATCTTTATTGTGTATGGGCCCCCCTGGACGAGCAAGCATAGGCACCCTAGAATGCCTATGCATAATTCCGGCCCTGGTTGTAAAATAATCATTAGATACACGCAGTTTTTGCTTTAAGAGTTCTCCTCCTCACCAGTTTTATGTCTGCGTGAAAATAAGCGAAGGTGGCGACCTTCCGCTGTTAGACTAACTAGGAGAGAACGTTTCAGATATCTCAGAGTTTGCTGTATGACTGGTGTGAGAAATTCTCTTTGTATAGCACATAGTAGATGCATTAGTAATGGATGATTCTGGTTTTCTCTCCTGTTTTTCAGAAATATTCATCACAATCTTGCAAGAGTGCTTCAGTACACCTACTGCTGCCTTAAAAATATTCACTGTTTAACAGGTACTTTACAGACTGCAATCAGATGTCACTTTAACTTTTCCTCAAACACCATCCAAGCATCTCGACCACATCAAATATATACAAACGTCTTGTCTACAGGGGAACACATTTTGTAACGAGAAATGGGTTCCGACAGAAGCGCTTGTGCTGAACAGCACAGCAATGCAAAATGAGGTCATGCTAGTAAAAATGTTAAGCGAGTATCATAAATGGTTTTATTTTCTGCTTTCTGTTTTTAAAGAATTGAGTCCAGTGTAGAGCTTGTTCATTATCCACCCAAATACAGGAAACAGCATCTGATAAAAGCTCAATATGCAGTAGCTATGTTTCCATCCAAATGTGCACATTTAACTTATGCGCAAAACTGAAATATCGCGTAAAACATTTGTGAATAAAGCACAGTTTCCATCCAACGAGTCAAAGAGAACAAAACCGTCACTTCCTGATAAACTGGCACTAAATATCTATAAGAGAACTAGGAGAAACCACTGAATATAATAATTGTCATATATAATAAATTACTTGCGCTTCAGAGAGCGCAGACGTAACACAATAAATGCGGTCATTGCTTTTAGAGGTGGATGCCTGCTGTTTGGGAACGCAGTAATGTAAGATAGTAATTATACAGAAATACATTGATGACAGACTTTCCTCAGGCATTTCAGAATGACCAAAACAACATATAGATGCTGTGAACGAGATACATTTATCCCGTATCATAGCGCAAAATCATATGACTTGTTCAATGCACATGGTGGAATTTATTCGGTAAATGTGTTTCCATCGTAGTTTATGCGCATTTTTTCTTAACGGATAAAAAGTGTATCCTACTCAGTTGTGCGCAGAAGCTTTTTATGTGCATTTTTGGAATGTATGCGCATCTTAGCGTTTCCATCCAGAGTTTTTTTATGCGATAATCCAAAATGTGCATACAAATAAGTGGATGGAAACAGCTAGTTAATTGGTCGAAATGTAATGCACGAGGTGGAGGAGTAAACCAGTGCTTCATTAAGGTTTGAGCACATTTGGCAAAATCATGCTAAATCCAATCCTTTCAGGCCCTGTATGTCTTTAACTACAGCCTACTGATAAAAATAACCCCACATCTCCACACAGAAAGTTAACACTGAGTAAAATTGATAGGCAATCTGGAGCAATGATTGGACAGCCTTGCCTGATCTTTAACTGCTCGCTACAGGGAATGAAAGAAATTGTCTCTCTCACTAAACCAGCCCAGACACAATTTTACAACCAAGGCCATTGCTTCGCTCAGTGATGCAGTGTTCAACAATCAGGGGTCTTCTGTTCTGTGATATATCAGCTAACACAAATGACTCAATTACTGTTTAACAGATAAAAATGTATTCTGTTCACTCCTATTCAGGCATATACCAAAATTTGGTCAATTCTGCAGGTGTTTTGTCAGTGCAAACCTGTTATCAGACAACTTCGCCAGGGAAAACCATTTATTTATGGCTTGTACAAAAGTAGATATGACAGAATATTTCCAGGGCTCAACAATAAGGATGTCTGCTGGGTTGGAGTCAGTGTGAAAGCATTTTGGGGCAGTTTTACATTGCCACCGAAAATCTTTAATTTGTTGATTTAATAAACTACCAGTCATCATTTTGAAATAATTAAGATTTATTTATGTTTTTGAAAGACCTCTCTCATGCTCACGGAGGCTGCATTTATTTGATTAAAACAACAACAAAAAGTTATATTGTGAAATATTATTTCATTAATTCAATTGAAAATAGTTTTTGTAATACATAATTTTAAAATATTATTTATTCCTCTGATGCAAAGCTGAATTTTCAGCAGCCATTACTTCAGTTTCACATAATCTTTCAGAAACCATTCTAATATGCTGATTTGGAGCATATTAGACATAAACATTTCTTAATATTATTAACGCAGAAAACTGTTTTTGCTGCTATTTTTGTGGAAACTGTGATACACTACCATTCAAAGGTTTGGGGGAAATAAATAAGAAAATAAGAACATACATACATACATGCATGCATACATAAATAAATACTTTTATTCAGCAAGGATGCGTTAAATTGATCAAAAGTGACAGTAAAGACATTTCAAATGTTACAAAAGATTACGATTTAAAATAAATGCTGTTTTTTACTTTCTATTTATCAAAGTATCCTGAAAAAAGGTATTACCGTTTCCACAAAATATTAAGCAGATCAACCGTTTTCAACATCGATAAAAAAAATAATAACCAGTATTAATAAAGAGCACCAATAATAATTTATACAATTTGAGCAGAAAATAAAATACTGTACATATAGAAAACAATTATTTTAAATTGTAATAATATTTCATATTACTGTTATTTTTTATGTATTTTTGATCAAATAAATCCAACCTGGTATAAGCATAAGAGTTTTTTTTACATAATTATTTAAAAAATATATTACAGTTTATTCCAAAAAGTTATCTCCAGTGACCTAAAAAATTATATTACACCTATGTCATGTCTCTGTCCTAGAATAAACGCATGGCCTTATTAGCAGATCCACACTGAATCTGCACCCACAAAATTCTTCAGAAAGCTCCACAGATTTCCACAGAATTAGAATGTCTGTCATTCCCTCATGTGTTGATTTATTAAATGTTTTTGGCTGAATCAATTATGTTTCAGCTACCAATTAGAGTGTAGTTTTCAGCTCCATTTAACATATTTCACCATATTTAAATGCATTCCACAAATTTTTCCCCCAGTCAGAGCAGAAAAAATAAATAAATAAATAAATTAAATGCAAAATAAAAACGGGCTCCATACGGGCTTGCTTATTAGTATGCATCCTTCATTGGCATTCAGTATTGGTTAGAACTGAGACAGATCCTCTTAATTCTCTGTAAACATTCAATTAGGGACTCATAGATGAATTTAAGTAGACAAATAGGCTAAATATTAGTAAATTATACTTGGCATATTTGATCAGGCAAGATGGCTTTTTCATTCATAGATCCTCCTTCGCAAATATGTCTTGAGGTCTGTAATCTAACCTGGTTTGCGATTGCCCTCAGCACATGACTGCAATAGGTCCCTGGTGCAATGCAATAATAATTAGGTTTGAATCATCTGTGCTGTTGTGCTCCTTGGAGGCTGAACCCCATCAGAGCTTGGACAGAAGCACAGAGGACACGTCGACGACTCATGTCTCTGAGAACCAGAGGCTCAAATGCTGCTTTACAGGAAATCAATACAAGCAGGGACCCTGCCGGCTGTTCTAGGATCAGTGGGAGAGCAGACAGACAAGCTTTTTTGACTGTTCACTCGTTGGAACTCCAGCTGAAAGAAGAGGAGAAACTAGCAGAAAATGCTGTATGTGTTTCCTCCAAGACTGACTTACATTCTGCAGTAATTGACTTAAGAATGTACAATATACAGTTGCTACACAGAAGGAGGGAAGTACAAATTATGTATTAAAGGAATGAGCACAAATGAGTTGTGGTTGCTCATTCAGGAAAAAAAAATGTGGTGAATGCTGGAGTCATAGGCATTTTAATCAAATGTGGTATTAGAACTGGATGGACACTTTTGAAATAAAACACATCTCAGATTTTGGATACTTTTGGCATAAAATGAAAAATCAATATGCAAACATGAGTGCAGAATGATACAGCCTTCTCCCTTTGATGTTTGCCTGTAAAACCCAGCAGCAAAACCAAATATGCACAGATAATTGCCCTTTGCAAAGCTCTGCCTAAAATGTTACTGACCAGTTGTACCTTGGCAACTGTTGCCATCCACCTTAGATATGGTGTAATGGAGGCTATGTGTCTATGGAGGCTCTGCAGTTTAAAATGCAATTTTATGAAACTACTGCAAAATGTTGTTGTCAGGTTACTTATATAGTGAAACTGGGTATCTAGTGTAACGAATCAGCTCATGAGGAAATATGAATAATTAACCATAACTAGTTATAATTAATTATGAATATTTTAGATCCGCTGTAGATATTTAGCTGACCTCTCAGGGTCAACTGTCTTGTCAATTCTAAGAACGTTAATTTCCTGGTTAAAGACATTTCGGGGGGGAAGGGTTCATGGGTCCTCATATGGCTTGTTAACTAGTATTTGTTAAATATAAAAACAAAATATATATTGTGTGTTTGATTGGTCCAGACGCTACACTAGAAAAATGGGGAAGATTTTTTTATTTGTTCGTTTATAAATTCATTTATTTATTTTTTAACAAATCTTTAAATATATTTTGAGAAATGTATGCTGTTGTTAAACCATCTTCTCATCCCTCATTTTTCAAATATACCTGTATAACATCAACAGAAAACTCACATTTAGGTAAATGAAAGGTTCTAACTTAATATTATGCCAATAGAAGCCAAAGAGATCACAGTATCATAGTGAATGCATTGTAGAAGCATTAAGAACAGTTCTGTTCATGTTTTTTTTAATGAACACTAATTTTTAATGAGCACATTTGAATGAAAATCACGCTGTACATGGCAATTGTCAGTTCAGTTCAATGGGATTTTCACTCAAGCTTGTCTCAGTTAGCAACAATATCTAAGGGGGCGGAGCTTCAGACTGATCAATTGCATTGCAGCACATTCATTGTTGAAGTTGCAATGAAAAAGTAGTAGCGATAGATCCATTGTTCTGTATTGTGACCAGTGGCGGAGCTAGAGTTTTATACAGTAGGAGACCAATGCTAATTCAGGAGGTCCATAGACCATGACAGAAAATCAGCGTATAGGCTAACTCCAACCTGGCATTACAAACAAACATGAATAAATCCTACGATTGCTGATTACTTCACATTACCCCACATTAGCTATACAGTCCTACGTAACTTCAAATATTATTCTATTGGAACTTATTTCTCTTATATATATAATGATTAACCAGAGGTTGTAGCAAAAGATCTAACATTATCTTATAGCCTACAGTGAATCTTGTAAATGTTGTTCAGGAAACCTAAAACTTCAACTTACTTCAAACAGGGCTGCCTTTTT